GGAAAAGACAGTCTCTTTAACAAATGGCACTGGCATAACTGGATATCCATCTGCAAAAAAATGAAACAAGACCCATACCTCACACAATGTGCAAAAACTAACTCAAAATGGATCGAAGTCTTAAATATAAAATTGGAAACAATAAAGGTTATGGAAGAAAAAATAGGAACAACTCTAGGAGCCCTAATACATGGCATGAACACAATACAAACCATAAGTAACAATGCACAAGCACCAGAAAAGAGACTAGATAACCGGGAGCTTCTAAAAATCAAACACTTATGCTCATCAAAAGACTTCACCAAAAGAGTAAAAAAAACAACCTACAGACTGGGAGAAAATTTTTGGCTCTGACAAATTCGATCAGCATCTAATCTCTAAAATCTACAAGATACTGCAAAACCTCAACAAGAAAAAGACAAATAACCCAATTAAAAAATGGGCAATAGATATGAACAGGCACTTCGCCAAAGACGATATTCAAGCAGCTAACAGACACATGAAGAAATGCTCACTATCCTTAGCCATTAGAGAAATGCAGATCAAAACTACAATGAGATATCATCTCAACCCCAGCAAGGCTAGCTTTAATTCAAAAAACACAAAATAATAAATTCTGGAGAGGTTGTGGAGAGACTGGAACAGTTATACACTGTTGGTGGGAATGTAAAATGGTACAAGCACTTTGGAAGCTGATTTGGCGCTTCCTTAAAAAGCTAGAAATAGAAGTACCATATGATCCAGCTATCCCGCTCCTTGGAATATATCCTAGAAAAATAAGGGCGGTCACGCGAATAGATATATGCACACCCATGTTCATTGCAGCATGTTCGCAATAGCAGAAAGATGGAAACAACCTCAGTGCCCATCAGCGGATGAATGGATAGACAAATTTTGGTATATCCACACAATGGAATACTATGTAATGATGAAGTACAACGATGAAGCCGTGAAACATCTTACAACATGGTGGAATCTAGAGGGCATTATGCCGAGTGAATTTAGCCAGTCACTGAAGGACAAATATTATGTAAGACCACTATTATAAGAACTCAAGAAAAGGTTTAAACACAGAATACAACATTCTTTGATGGTTATGAGGGTGAGGAGGGAGGGTGAGGGTTATTCACTAACTAGATAGTAGACAAGTATTATCTTAGGTGAAGGGAAGGACAGCACACACTACAGGGGAATTCAGCACAACTGGACTAAACCAAAGCTAAGAAGTTTCCTGAATACAATCAAACACTTTGAGGGACAGAGTACCAGGGGTGGGTATCTGGGGACCATGCTTTCAGGGGACATCTAGGTCAATTGGCATAACAAAGCTTATTAAGAAAATGTTCTGCATCCTACTTTGGTGAGTGGCATCTGGGGTCTTAAAGGCTAGTGAGTGGCCATCTAAGATGCATCAATTGGTCGCAACCACCTCCAGGTAAAGGAGAATAAACAACACCAAAGACACAAGGAAAGTAGTAGCCCAAGAGACAGAAAGGACCACATAAACCAGAGACTTCATCATCCTTAGACCAGAAGAACTAGATGGTAGCTGGCCACCACCAATGATCGACCTGACAGGGAACACAACAGAGAGTCCCTGATGGAGCAGGAGAAAGGGGGGATGCAGAACTCAAATTCTAGTAAGAAGACCAGACTTAATGGTATGACTGAGACTGGAGGAACCCCGGAAAGCATGGCCCCTGGATTCTCTATCAGCCCAGAACTAAAACAATTTCCGAGGCCAACTCTTCAGACAGGGATTGGACTGGACTGTGGAACATAAAGTGATACTTGTGAGGAGTTTGCCTCTTAGCTCAAGTAGATACAAGACACTAAGCGGGCAGCTTCTGTCTAGAGGTGAGATGGGAAGGCAGAGAGGTTTAGGAGCTGGTTGAATGGACATGGTTAATAAGGGGTGGAAAGGAGGAGTGTGCTGTCACAATACGGAGAGAGCAATTAGGGTCACATAACAATGTATGTATGAATTTTTGTATGGGAGATTATCTTGAGATGTAAACTTCATCTAAACTACAACAATTAAAAAAAAAAATCTACCAGGTGCTCCTTGGAAACCCTATGGGCCAGTTCTACTTTGTCCTATAGGGCCACTATGAGTCAGAATCTACTTGACTTGACAGCAACGGGTTTGGTTTTTGGTTTATTACCAATAGCCAAAGTGGGGGAAATTACTTCACGAGGAAGAAATTACACTCAAGGCAATACTCTGCTCTGTATGCAATAGTTAAATCTGGAGCACCCCATAGTCTGTCTCTCCAAAGCACCCCACACCTCAAGGAATTGTAAATATAGGTACACGGAGAGGGGTAATACATTTTACTATATTCTGTGGTATTACTTCTAAATTTAATAAAATAAGTTCAATCCTGACAGCCTCAATTTCCCGGGTAAATAAAATGTGAGAACTTGGGATTCATGAGCCAGACGCCAGGGTTAGAGTCTTGGTTCTACTCCTTACTAGCCAAGAACCATTAACTAAGTTACTTAACCACTTGGAACCTGTCTTAGTCATCTAGTGCTGCTATAACAGAAATACCACAAGTGGATGGCTTTAACACAGAGAAATGTATTCTCCCACTGTCTAGTAAGCTACAAGTCCAAATTCAGGGTGTCAGCTCCAGGGGAACACTTTCTCTGTCGGTCTGGAGGAAGGTCTGTGTCATCAATCTTCCCTTGGTCTGGGAGCTTCTCTGCACATGAACCTCAGGTCCAAAGGACGGGCTCCGCTCCCGGCACTGCTTTCTTGGTGGTATGAGGTTCCCAACTCTCTGCTTGCTTCCCTTTTATCTCTTGTAAGATAAAAGATGGTGCAGGCCACACCCCGGGGAAACTCCTTTTACATTGGATCAGGGATGTGACCTTAGTAAGGGTGTTACAATCCCACCCTAATTCTCTTTAACATAAAATTACAATCCAAAATGGAAGACAACCACAGAATACTGGGAATCATGGCCCAGCCAAATTGATAACACACACATTTTTGGGGGGAACATAATTCAATCCATGACAGAACCAAACAATGGTTTTGCTTGACTAGTAAAGAATGTCTGCCTTGAGTATTGTGCTCTTTTGGATCTGTCTATACAGGATGAAACTGACAACAGAAATTCAAGAGATTGGATGGGAACCTTGGGAGGCAGTGAGTTTGTGTTGATGGGGAAGGAGCGACTCAGAAAGGGAGGGTGGGAATGGTTGCACAGCTCGAAGAGTGTAATCAATGTCACTGATTTGTACATGTAGAGGCTGTTGAATGGGTGTATGTTTTGCTGTGTGTATTAACAACAACAACAAAAATAAAAAATATTATTAAAAAAAAGCTATTTAACCACTTGAAGCCTTATTGTCTTCATGTGTAATATCAGAATAATAACAATACTATCTATCAAATCTGTCTTGGAAGAAGTACAGCCAGAATGCTCCTTAGAAGCGAGGATGATGAGACTTCGTCTCACATGTTTTCGGCATGTTATCAGGAGAGACCAGTCCTTGGAGAAGGACATCATGCTTGGTAAAGTGGAAGGTCAGTGAAAAAGAGGAAGACCCTCAACAAGATGGATTGACACAGTGGCTGCAACATGGGCTCCAGCATAACAGCGATCACGAGGATGGCGCAGGACCAGGTAGTGTTTCGTTCTGCTGTGCGTAGGGTCGCTGTGAGCGACAGCACCTAACAACATCTACTTCACAGTGTTATTCTGAAAATTTACATAGTAAGGCATTATGTAAAGCACTTAGCACAGTGCCTAGCACACAGTACACAGAAAATGCCATCTACAAAATGTTAGCTGTAAAAAAATGTTTGCTTTACCCTTCATTTCCAGGAGACATAAAAGATTCGTTACTTTTGTTCTGAATTGTTAAGAGCATTCTTATTATAACCTGTTATCAAGGGATTTGATAGAAGTTCACGCTGAAGTACTGATCTTGGCTAGAATATCTGCTTTTCCATTACCAGACAAATAAATGTGAACAGATTATTTAGAATTTCTGAGCTTCATTTTCCTCATCTGATGATGATGACAATCATAAAAAAAAAATCCTTATATTACTCTTACCGTTTACTGTTTTAAGAGCTTTTCATGTATTTACTCATTTAATCCTCACAACAATCCTGTTAGGTAGGTACTACCAGTTTACTAATTAGGAAACTGAGGCCAAAGAAACAGTGGATCAGGGATTTGAAGCCGGGCAGTCTGACATCAGAGTTCTTGCTCTTAACTGCCGTGTTACAATACTTATCCAGGGATTAAAGAAAAAACATTGCCATCGAGTTGATTCTGTAGATATAGGAAATAATGAGACACAACAAAATAATAAAAAATAACATATGAAAGTGCCTTTCTTAGTACCTGGCACAAACGATAGTCTCAGTAATGTTCATTCCCTTTCTTTTGTAAGGAAAAAAGAAAGATCATATACTAGGCCCTCAGTTATATTTATTTGCTTGGAACTTTTTGGTATTAATTATTAGTAAAATGTAAAGGGAGCCCAGAGACCAGTTACATAAAATGATGCTATTTTCAGCAAATTCAGGATATCTTTATACAGCCATGACTTTTAAATGGTCAGAAAATTTTCCCAGTTTAGGAAAGTACACATTGTCTGCAAGGTAATCTGCTTAACGTCAGGTGTTACTTGTCTAGTCTGCTAGATAGAAACAAGCTATAGCTAAAAAAAAAAAATAACTTTTTAAAAAAAAATTTTATTGTCCTTTAAGTAAAAGTTTACAATTCAACTTGGTCTCTCATACAAAAATTTATACACTCATTGTTATGTTACCCTAATTGCTCTCCCTATACTGTGAGCACCCTCCTCCTTTCCACCCCTGATTTCCCGTGTCCATTCAACCAGCTGCTGACCCTCTCTGCCTTCTCATCTCACCTCTGGACAGGAGCTGCCCATTTAGTCTCATGTATCTACTTGAGCTAAGAAGCACACTCTTCACAAGTATCATTTTTATGTTCCATAGTCCAGTCTAATCTTTGTGCGAAGAGTTGGCCTTGGGAATGGTTTAGTTTTGTGTTGACAGAGAGTCCAGGGGCCATGCTTTCCAGGGTTCCTGCAGTCTCAGTCAGACCATTAAGTCTGGTCTTTTTACTAGAATTTGAGTTCTGTACCCTGCTTTTCTCCTGCTCCATCAGGGACTCTCTGTTGTGTTCCCTGTCGGGGTGGTCATTGGTGGTCAGGCACCATCTAGTTGTTCTGGTCTCAGGCTGATGAAGTCTCTGGTTTATGTGGCCCCTTCTATCTCTTGGGCTAATACTTTCCTTGTGACTTTGGTGTTCGTCATTGTTCTTTACTCCAGGTGGGTTGGGACAAACTGATGCATGTTAGATGGCTGCTCACTAGCTTTTAAGACCCCAGACGCCACTCACCAAAGTAGGATGCAGAACATTTTCTTAATAAGCTCTGTTATGCCAGTTGGCCTAGACGTCCCCTGAAAGCATGGTTCCCATACCCCTGCCCCTGCTACTCTGTCCCTCGAGGTGTTTGGTTGTATTCAGGAAACTTCTTAGCTTTGGTTTAGTCCAATTGTGCTGACTTCCCCTGTAGTGTGTACTGTCCTTCCCTTCACCTAAGATAATTCTTGTCTACTACCTAGAAAAATAACTTTTTAGTGCAGCAACCTATTCAAGAAAAAGGAGCCCTGGTGGCACAGTGGAGCCCTAGTGGCACAGTTGTTAAGCGCTTGGCTGCTAACCGAAAGATCAGCAATTCAAACCCACCAGCCACTCCTTGGAAACCCTATGGGGAAGTTCTACTCTGTCCTACAGGGTCGCTATGACTCAGAATCAACTTGATGGCAATGGGTTTGGTTTTCTTTGTTTCTGGTTTGGTTCAAGAAAATGTTAAGCAATAAGAGACAAATATTAACATGCTGAAATATGAATGTTCTCACCATGTGACTGAACTGGTCTGTGAGGAAAAGGATCCAGGTGTTTTCTGAAAACTTCTGTAGTCAAAAGAAGAACTCGATTCATGAGCTCATTAACCTAAATACACATACACACATACATACACATTTAAGCAAATTTATATTTGAACAAACCTCATATAGCTGAATTCTGTAATATCTCTAAGCCTCTTATAAGCCCAGCTCTGAAATACGTAATGATGCACATTTTTCTAAATCGAACCCCTTACTGCTTTAACAAAGCACTAAAGCGTAGCTAAATATTGATCATTAAGCTCTATAGCCTCTACCTTCCTAACATTGCCTGTGTCTAGTTCCTGCCTACCTTAATTTTCCTTACACGTTTTCAACCTCACCAACCACTCTACCCTGCACCAACCCCAAATATTTCCCCTCTGACCCAACCTTTGTGACCTTGGAAGCATTTATTCATCTTTCAAGACTCAGCTCACAGGCTTCCTTCTTTAGGAGGCCTTCTTGAATCTCCCTCTTTTGTGTCCTCATTCTAACAACATCCACAACACTTTTTCAATATAGTATTGTCTTTCTGCTCCCATAGCCTGTATATCCCTGGATAACAGGCCCATTTTTTTAAATTCTTTTCTGTTTGCCTGAGACTTAATCACGATGCCTCTCACGTAGTAGGCACTAAGTGGATGTCTGTAACATGATTGCATGAAAGAATGAAAATGATTGTGCCTTCAGTGAAACTGTATGTTCATATACACACGCAATAACAACACAATACTAAAAACGTCATACCTGATTAGATAAATAATCCAAGGAAGTTTGTTGCTCATCCATCATATTTCTTAGTAGTTTTTTGGTACTTCGTGTATAGGAAACAACAGAATTTTGCAAATTTCCTTAAACCATAATAAAAATGGCTGCTAAATATAACATTATTAAGGAAATTAAGATATAAAATTTCACATGATTTTGTATAAATACATAAGCACAATAATATCTCATTTATCTAAATACTCAGACTTACATAGTCTAGCTAGTACAATTTTTTTTAACTCAGGATTAACCCTTCTTAATGAAACTCTGCTTCCTAGTAATATAGAATACTCAAAGTAATTTAATCTGAGAGACAACATTCTGAATGTCAATTCTCACTTTATACTATGGGAGGTATAGACACAGGAGGTTCAAGACTCATCATTTCTTACTATATAAGTTAGTAAAAGGCAACAGTCTCATACCATGCAAGTTCATTTCAAAAATAAATCTTTGCTTATATTTTTTCCGTTAATGCTGTATTTTTATATAAATAAATTGCAAAAACACATACACATATACACAAACAAGATAAACCTTAGTCAAAGGTTTGCGTTAGTTAGTTTCTGATTGAACTTATACTGTACATTTTTCTCTGTTACCAAACTTTTATTATGAAGCAATTTTACAGAAAATTTGCAAGAACAGCACAAAGAACTTTCTTTTTCCAAAATAATTTGAGAGTGAGTTCTCATGATGTCCCTTCATCCCTGAATAATTTGGTGTGTATTTCCTACACCAAATACATTTTCTACGATTCAGCCATCAAAATCAGGAAATAAACGTTGACTACTATATATTTTTCAGACCCTGTGAAAGTTTCACCAGCTATACCAATGATGTCCTTTATGACAAAAGATCTGCACATTATTGTATACGTTATCGTTTACAATTTTTTATTTCTGTTTCCAAATTTTACTCTAGCAGTAAGATACATTAATAATTTTTATCTTTTTTTAATCTGCCTCACCCGCTTCATCTCTCTTTTTTTATTCTCAGTCTCTCACTTTCCATTAGCTTCTTCCTGGATTTAGATATCTGTGCTCATGAGCCTAAATTTGCACTCACTGGTTTGAGAAGTCTGAGACACTTGTATTACACACAAAATTAGCTACATTAAAGTGAGCTTTTTGTACTTCTGACCTAAGTCCTATAGCTGGATCAGATCATCACCAACTCTCCTTCGATCCCCCTTCTCCATCCCTGACCCAACATGCGTACAATAAAAACCAAATCCGACTCATAGCGACCCTATAGGACAGAGCAGAACTGCCCCATAGGGTTTCCAAGGAGTGTCTGGTGGATTCGAACTGCCGACCATTTGGTTAGCAGCTGTAGCTCTTAACTCTGCTCCACCAGGGTTTCCCACACATACAATAGACCGTGAAAATTATTGTGATGTTACTAAATAGTTTTAAACAAAAATCAAGACTTTAAAACTTTCTATTTTTTAACATTTGCTACCATAAATCAAAGAAGCCCTGGTAGCACAATGGTTAAGCACTCGGCTGCTAATTGAATGGTCGGTGATTAAAACCCACCAGCTACTCCACTGGAGAGAAGACCTGGCGATCTACTCTGTAAAGATTACAGCCTAGGAAACCCTATGGGGCAGTTCTACTCTGTCCTATAGGGTCACTATGACTCAGAATCAACTTGTCGGCACACAACAACAACCATAAATCAGCTGTGATTTGTATTATACCTATTTGTAACAGTTGCTTCATATGACTTTATTAGTTTTTGGTATCCCCTCTCTTAAACTAAGATGAAATTTGCTAATGGTTCAGATGAAAATAAGAAAATAGCCCTAGTTCAGTTGTACAACACTATTACCAGTGCCCTCTGGTTTTCCCCCTCCTTCTGTGGTCAATTGATGCCACAAGGCTATACAGAGAAACAGTTCATTAATTTACCAAATATTTACTAAGTACGTACTACTATGTAACAAACACACAAAGCCTCTAGCCTAGGTTGATAAAGATGTAGGTAAAATGACCCAGACCCCATTGTAGAAAACAGTCTGGAGGTTCCTCAAAAAACTACAGGTAGAGCTGCCATATGACCCAGCGATTCACTCCTAGGTATATACCCTAGGGATCTAATAGAAGTGACATGAACAGACATGTGCACACCTATATTCATCGCGGCATTATTCACAATAGCAAAAAGATCTGAAACAACCTAAGTGGCCACCAATGGATGAATGGGTAAGTAAAATGTGGTACATACATATAATTGAATACTACTCAGTGATGAAGAAAAATGAGTTTTCAAAACATCTTGGAACACAGATGAACCCAGAGGATATTATGTTGAGTGAAATAAGTCAATCACAAGAAATAAACATTGTATGTTTTCACTTTTATGAAATGACATGAACATAGATAGTAGACTCTTGTTATTTTGGTGATGGAAAAGGTAACACCGAATGAGGGTGAAGTGTACACAGCTTGAAGAAGGGAAATGATGTCACTAAAAAAGTACACAAGAAAAAAGGACCTGTTGGTAATTGCTATGGCATATATAATGTTGAAACAACAGCAAAAACAATAAAAAAAAAAGCATGCAGGTATATATATATATATATATACATAGGCATATGTATGTATATGTATGTATATATGTGTGTGCATGTAGGTGTATGCATATGGATACGTATATGCATCTATGTGACTGTATGCACATATATTCATGTATATGATAAAGCTCATAGGGAGCATAGTTACAGATACTTCTTAGACATAACCAAATATCTTGCAGGATTGGATTTCTGGATGAAGGATTAGGACCATAGACTGATGGGATATCTCAGTCAATTGACATAGTTTATAAAGTTGTGTTCTACATCCTACTTTGGTGAGTAGTGTCTGGGATCTAAAAGCATGTAAGTGGCCATCTAAGATACAACTATTGGAGTCTACTCATCTGGAGCAAAAGAAGGAAACCAAAGTCTCAAAGAAGAAACTAGTCTACAGAACAAATAGTCTACATGAACCATGGCCTCATCTACCCTGAGGCCAGAAGAACTAGGTGGTGCCTGGTTACCACTACTGACCATCTGATCAGGGCCACAATAGATGGGCCGTGATAGAAGCAGAGAAATATGTGGAACAGAACCTCAAATTCCAAAAAAAAAAAAAAAAAAAACAGACCTAATAGACTGGTTGAGACTGGAGGACTCCCCAGGACTATTGCCCTGAGATATTCTTCAGACCTTGAACTGAAACAACTCCTGAGGTCACCCTGTAGCTAAATAACAAATTGGCTCAAAAAATAATGAATATCACCCGTGAGTACTTTGCTCCTTTAAAAAAATCACCTATATGAGACCAAATGGTCGACAATTACTTAAAGATGCAAATGTAGGGAGCAAGGAAACTAGATTAATGGAAACACAAAAACTAGAATGGAAATTAATAAAAATGTTTATGTATTGTGAAGAATGTAACCAATGTCAGTGAACAACTTGGGTAGAAATTGTTAAATGGGAACCTAAACTGCTGTGTAAACCTTCACCAAAAATACAATAAAATATTATTAAAAAAATTTTTTTTTTAATGACCAAAAAAAAAAAAAAAGACCCAGACAAATGCTGATATATTTTTCCTACGCCCACCCAAAAAATAATAAATCATATACCTTTACAATTTTGGTTATTTTTAATACTTACTACACATGAAATGTTTTTCTTCTCGTGTAATTTTAGGCTTAACATCGTATGATTCCTCACAGTTTTCCTGATAAAGAGTATCATTACTTTTGCTTTCATCTTTTGCATTAGATGCATCTTCTACAATGTTGGCAGATGAAGAGTCCTTTACACAAAAAGAAAGAAATAACAAAAAAAATATTAAATATGTTATATGATCCAAGACAATAAATAAGAAGACTACAGGAAAAAGGTGAGATTTCAGGACGTACATGAGGATAATTGTTAGAAAAAACATAATGAACTGCTTAGTTCAAACTTCCACAGATAAACCCTAAAGATAAATTTGGGGTATGAGTAGTAAGTGTAAGTTAAGTCAATACTTTCACTCTCTCTTTTCTTCTCAAATTCCAGGAGAGTTTCTTTAGGGTCTGCTTCCACAACTGTGACTCTGTGGGCTTGACCTTTAACTTTTTTACATTTCTACATGTGATAGAGTGTTGAGCCATCTCTCTTCCAGAAATCTTGCAATTTTAAACTTCCTTGAAAAGAGATTAAACGGTTTCCTTGAGATACATGCAACAATTCTATGACAAATAGACTTTCCTGCCACCCATTATTAGGAATTGGGAGAAAATATGTAGGAGGCACATTAATTTTGTATAAGTTAAAATAGTCACAGATTTGAAAGTTAATGTTTTCATAGATTTGAAAGGTCTCATGATAACAGAAACAAAAACTTAGCATTCAATTTTGCTCTGCAAAATCAACAACAGATGTCATTATACAAGGCCAACTACAGCTGTCATTCTAAAGGTATCTATAATTGTTGATTTCTTCAGCACGAAAGCATTCTTTGGTAGAAGTTATATAGATGTGATAACTCTGCTATTAAAAGAAAAAAACAGCAACAAGCTTTGTTCTGTTTTGACCTGGGAACTGACAAAAAGGTAAACAACTAATCAAATTGTGAAAGTATTTGCCCCCAAAAGATGCTTACATATTTTTTATTGCTGTAAAAGTATAGATAACACAACATTTTTCATGTCTGCAATTCAGTGAGACTGATTATATCAATCATGTTCTGTAACCATCACTAATATCCATTGCCAAATTTTCTATCACCATCAACAGAAACTCATTGTTTCCTAAACATTGATTTCCCTCTTTTCCCATCCCTCCCTCTCCTGGTAACCATTATTAAACTCTGATCTCTATATACTTACCTATTCTATGTACTTCCTGTTAGGGAAACCATATAGGTCCTTTTGTAATTGACCGATTTCACTCAACATAATGTTTTCAAGGCTCATCCATGTTGTGACATGTTTCAGGACTTCATTTCTCTTTACGGCAGAGTAATATTCCATTGCATGTATAGACCACATTTTGTTTATCCATTCATCTGTTGATGGACATTTGAGTTGTTTCCACCTTTTAGCTATTGCGAATAGTGCTAGGGTACTTACATTTCATTATGTAGATCTATTTTTAGCTTCCTGCTCTTTCCCTATATTCCTATAATAACTGGCATACGAGATGTTTTCAAAAACCTAAGTTGCAGCTATGGTTTTTCAGATCAAAACAAGGATCTTAAATTTTACCACGTATTTTAGAGAACTAACTTATTTAATATTTCTATAAACTTTCCTAGAGTTTTTCTTCCTTCAGTCAGGGAACTTTGGAATTTGGTTTTGATACAGCGGTAACATTATAAACCAATGTTTAAGTATGTAGACATTAACGTTTCAGCTACCAATAGTGTTGCATACACAGTATTAGCTATTATTCTGATATTGAGTTAAAAAAAAATTCTGATTTCCTTGGTTATCACTCAAAAAATATTTGAAGAAAAACAGTTCATAGACTGGTTAAAAACAGCAAGATGAACTTTTTTATTACCCATCAGATAGTTCATTATTACAGTGAATTGGAAAGTTGCTGGCTAGTTTTTAACCTAGATCAGCAATTTCTTTAAAATATTTTCACAAGCGATGTGTTGAATCAATCCTCAGCTTTTTTCCTAAGTTTAACAATATTATCATTTAAGCGCAATCTCAACATTTCTAAATAAATATCTTAAGTGTTCTATAAATTGTACTTTGTTTTATAATAAATCTTTTAGAAATGCTAGAATATATCTTAAAAGCTATCTAATCTTACTTTCCTCGCAAAAGTAATATTGATGAAATTCTTACCGTAGAATGATGTACACAGTTACCTTGTATAGCTTCTCCACAAATAAAAATACATATATTTAAGAACAAGAGTGAAGCTTGGGAAAATTGCATCGTATTTTTCTTAGAGAAACAAAAACACTTCTTCAAATATCAGTCGCCGTCTGTGGAAAGAGCTACAGTGCATGGAGTCTTCAGTTAAAAACTTCTGGAAGGTACACAACAAAAACAGAAGCCAACGCTTGCTGGTTTCCACGCCCTCGTTTGAAACAACACCCTTTATACGAAAAACAAGGTAGCCTCTAGAGAATCTGTCTTTTTAAGTTATAATAATGCTTTTTTTTTTTTTAATCACGCATGCCTGCATGATAAATTCATGCTTTTGGAATATAGGAAATTAATTAATGCACTAATTAATTAATTCAATTTGTCCAGTTTTTATTAATCCCTTTTTTTTTTTTTTGTGCCTTGGGAAAAATATCTTCAATAAATTAGGCTTCAATAATTGTGAAGAGGTTTGCACACAAATAGTAAGAAAGTAGAAATGGGTGATGAGGTGGGAAAAATATTACATTGGAACTACTTCTACAAACTGCTAAGTAGAAATTTTATCCATGTGGGTATCTAGAGAAGATAATTCTGACTTAAAATATGCCTTTAACTGAATTTAGCCATCAATAGCAATCATATTAACCACATAAACGCCAGGTATCTAGGATATTAATTGGTTTGTAAGTTTTACATCTATAAAGGAACTATTGTTATTGAAAATTACCACTCTCTGGAGATTGATAGATGAGTCTGGGGAGTTTTCAAATTCTCCCTTACAATGGCTTCTTTCCTTTAATCTACAGATATGCCTAAATCTTCAATTGAGAAGCAAAGCAAAGCTTTCCTGAGTCTTGCTTCCTGTTCAAGGTATTATTTTTTCAATCTCCTTTCTCGATCTCCTAGCCTGAGAATTGCAGGGCAAGGACTATGCCATCGTTTTTATGGCACACACAATAGGGACTGGTACACAATAGGCACTCAGATATTTGATTAATGAAGAAATTATCTTAAACTGAATATCTATGCTCTGGCTTTGCTTCCTCATCACCTGCTATTTAAAACCAAACACACTTATCTCTGCCACTCTCCTTCTACTGAAATGACTTTCTCCAAGTTCTCCAGTGTGAAGTGCTTGGGAATGCTGGCTCTGGGATCCAATAGCCTAGATTTGAACCTTGATTCCACCACTCCCTTGCTGTAAGACCTTGGGCAGGTTACCTAATATTGTTAGAGTTCAGTTATCTCCTTTGTAAAATGGGGATTGGTGTGTGGATAAAATAATTTAGTATATGTAAGGATTTAACACAGTATGTAGGAAACATCAAGCACTAAAATGTTAGGTGGTATCATTATTATTTGTATTATTATTATTATCACTATCATTATTTATTTAACTTGGTCTATATGCAGTTCTCCACCACCTAGCTGTCTGCTTGTTATATTGTGGTAGCTTACGTGTTATTATGATACTGGAAGCTATGCCACAGTATTTCAAATACTAGCAGGGTCACTTACAGTAGACAGGTTTCAGCGGGGCTTTCAGACTAAGACAGACTAAGATCAAAGGTCTGGCAACCTCTTTCAAAAATTAGCCAATGGAAACCCTATGGATCACAACAGAATACTGTCCAATATAGTGCTGGAAGATTAGCCCGCTAAATTCAAAGGCATTCAAAATACTCAGTGGCCATAACAATGGACTCAGGCATACCAATGATGATGACAATAACACAGGACTGGGCAGCGTCCCATTATGTTGTACATGGGGTCTCCATGAGTTGGAGACGACTCGACAGCAACTATCAACAACAAATATGCAATTCTATCACTGTTGACAATATTTGGAGCCCTGGTGCTTCAGTGGTTAAGAGCTAAGTCTGCTAACCAAAAGGTGGGCAGTTCGAATCCACCAGGCACTCCTTGGAAACCCTGTGGGGCAGTTCTACTCTGTCCTACAGGGTAGCTATGAGTTGGAATCGACTCGATGGCAACAAGTTTGTTTTGTTTTTTGACAATATTTGATGTGACCTTTATAATCTATGTTAGGAGCAGGTTAGTATATATATTTAATCTTAAATTTCTAGTTGAACTTTTATATGGAATTGAAATGACGATGGCAGAACTTTAGCAATTTTAAATCCATCAAACATTAAAAGTCTTTGTTCTTTCATAGCTTTCCCAGAGACAAATTCAGGAAATTCTTACTTGAGCATGAAAATAATTCAGGAGAAGATGGAAAAAATAGCTTCAGCCAAGATGAAAATGAAAACTTAAGAAATTGTCTGTTGCAGGCTGCCTCGAATGACTCACAAGGTTATAAAAAACCAGTTGCAGTTGAGTTGTTTCTGACTCATGGCGACACCATGTGTCAGAGTAGAACTGTACTTCGTAGGGTTTTCAATGGCTGATTTTTTGGCAATAGGTCACCAGGACTTTCTTCCAAGGTGCCACATGGTTATAGCAGTATTCAAATCAGATAGGTTATGTGAACCTGCTTTGTAACCATAAAGAGTTATTTCTCAGGAATTGTTATTTTCCTAGGAGTCCCTGGGTGTTGCAAATAATTAGTGGGCTTGGCTACTAACCTAAAAGTTGGAAGTTCAAGCTCACCCAGAGGCACCTCAGAAGGATTCCTGGTTGTGCTCTCCAGCCTCTGCCAAATGCCTCATTTGAAATGTCAGGAACAGGAAAGATAGGTTTCAGAAACCTTACACTCCTCCTCAGCTGATTTTTGTGCCAGGTATGCGTTTCTTTTTCTTAAGCTGTCAAGGTTTCTCTCTGCTGACAGAGCTCTTATCCCACTCTTCCTTTCTGGGAAATAAGAAGGCTGTGATAATCTCAGTGATTTTTTTTTTTTTCTGAAATAATTTCTGCTTTAATTTTATAAATCTGCAGCTCTTTAGATGCATGGCTGGAGTTTTCATTTGCTACAGGAAGATTCTCCTCTGTCTTTGCAGAGTAAATTCTCTCTAAATTAGATATGGGATAAAAATTTGTTTCTTTTCCTCCATGAAGTTCGGGAAGGATTTGATGTGCTTGCTGGAGCTTTTGCTTCTCTCTTTCTAAGTGGTTGTTTTCTGGTTGCAGGGAAGCTTTCTTGGTTTTCAGACTTTTACTATGATTTTGAAGTATCTTGATTTTTTTTTATCCTCCTCAGTTAATTTTAGGTACAATTGTTTTCTTTTTTCTTGGAGCATTTGTGGGTTAATATTTAGGCCAGCATAATTCAACACTCCTTTGGAGTCACTGTGTAAGAAGCCTCCCATTTTCTAATGCCTTTGATGTGTCCAGTTCTACATTCCCGTCATCTGTCCATACTGTCTTCCCCAAGAACTGTAGCCCAGTCGCTCATCTTTAGTAAATGTTCATCTAGAGGCTTTATCTGACTTTTTTGTGGTTGTTAAGAACTTGCTTCATAGGTAGTTTACAGTTTTCTGAGACATTTTTGTCTTTAATAAATGTTCCATTCTTTCTTTCCATATTTTAGATTTTTGTAAAAGGAGTTTTTTGCTTCTCGGAAGATGAGTATTTTCCTCCAAAGCCTCTGTCACTGCTGTCTGAAGCTGTTCTCCATTCTTCTCATGGGTTCTCAAAGATGTTTTGGTTCCACCTCCTTGATGTTGGATTTGCTTTGATGCATCTTCTAAGAACTTACTCTTGTTTGTAATGTCAGCCATCAGACAGACTTGTAAACGTTTAGATTCCTCTTCTTTCCATGCTTTTCTACAAACATCTATTTTAAGCTCAAGTAAAGAGTTGTAATTTCTAGTTCTTTATTCATGGTCTCTGCATTTACTATTTCTGATAGTTCATTCTTGAGTTTGGGTTTAGGATAGTTGATTTAAGGTCTTCAAATTCTCTTCCAATGGGGGGAAACTTCTCAACAATTTCATGTGTTTTGCCCAGAAGGGCAGAAACTCCAGTAACCGGTTATTTGTCTCTCCTTGCATTGTAAACAAAAGTTTTAAGCATAAAAATTCCCACTATGACTATAAAAGTCAACATATTTCACAGCAATCCTTGGGGATCTGGGCCTAGGCTAAGATCCCTGGCAGTGCTGTCACCACCCGGCACAGGGCCTCCAGGATCGGCATTTCCCAGAGCATCAAGGCCATCAGTGGACCATCTGGGGCTCCTAAGGCCACTACTGTGTCACCTCACGTTGCCAGGACCCTGTTGCCACAACAGACAACAGAGCCCCTTGTTGAGAATTGTGTATAGAACCTGCCAAGTGCCTGGCAGCCAGGGCAGAGTCAGTGGAGGTGGAGGTGGGGACTAGAAGAACAGTGCCTTCTAATCTTCCTCACAACTTGACCCACAAATTCAATGATCACATCTCATGACCCTTGGGATATGGACTAGGCTCTGAGGGTCAGAGGGGATGGCACAAGTCCAAAAAAATATCCATTGCCATCATCCAACTCATAGCGACCTTATAGGACAGAGTAGAACTGTCCCATAGGGTTTCCAAGGCTGTAAATCTTTACAGAAGCAGACTGCCCCATCTTTCTCCCAGAGCAGCTGGTGGGTTCAAACAGCCCACCTTTCAGTTAGTAGCCAAGAGCCTAACCAGCGCGCTACCAGGGCTCCTCAACTAATGCAAGTAGACGAGAAAAATAAAAAATGATACTGTCTTTCTCGTTTTTTCTTTTTTTAAAATCTATCTGAGGTGTAATAACTGAAGCCAACATAATTCTTTGTCCCTATGTTAAACAATACTGAGACCACACAAAAATAACTTATCTGCATGCTCCAGAAAATACTTACTTCAGAAAGGTAAGACTGTGAAAAGCTAAACAGCTTATTTATCAAGACTAATGAGTTGCCCCTCAAGACTCCCTTTAAGATCGTTGTCTTACTAGGTTCACAAATCTAAGAAAACTTTGCCCATTCCCCACATTTCTCCGCCTTGCAAGACCTGCAAACCCTAAACCAGTTGCCTTTAATCGACTCCAACTCATGGAGACCCCATATGTGTGTTAGAGTAGAACTGTGCTCCATAGGGTTTTCAGTGGTTGATTTTTCAGAAGTAGATCACCAGGTTTTCTTCCCAGGAGCTTCTGGGTGGACCAAAATTACCAACCTTTAGGTTAGCAGCTGAGCATGTTAACCGTTTGCACCACCCAGGGATGCCCTGCAAATCCTAGAATCCTGTAAATATTTTTTCCTATTTTTCTCTTTTTGCTGCTAAGAATTAACTTCTAAGTCTTACTGCTAAAAACTTTGCTGCAGTAAATCTAGTAAACAGCTTAGCTCCATCAACAGGTTTTTCCGGTGGTACTTTGTGCTGTAGTCAACAGGCCTGCCACATTATCACTTGGGTTTTGTAGTATTCTAGCTGTATTATTAGAATATTCTCATATTTTATTCAGTTGGAAAAGGAAATATAATTCAAAAATGTCTATTATGTGTCAAGAATTGTGTTAAGCTCTTTCACGCACTTTGTCTCATGTAATTCTCACATCTTCTCTCCTAAGACATGCATTATCATCTTCACTCTCTTTCCCCTGAATCCAACCTTGTCTGATATTAAGATCTTGGCCTTATTTTCTTATTTTATATAATTTCCTGGTATACCATCCCCATCCTTTTATTTTCAATGTATCTAAATCATTTTGCTTTACACGTGTCTCTTGTACGTAGCATATATTTGAGTTTTCGTTTGTGATACAAGGTGAAGTTCTTTTTCTTTAAGAGATGAATTTAGTCTATGGTGGCACAGTGGTTAAGCACTCAGCTACTAAAGGAAAGGTCAGTAGTTTGAACTCACCAGCTGCTCCATAGGAAAAAGATGTGGCAGTCTGCTTCTGTAAAGATTTACAGCCTTGGAAACTCTGTGGGGTAGTTCTACTCTGTGCTACAGGGTCACTATGAGTTGGAATCAACTCTACAGCAACAGGTTATAGATAATATCAGTGTTAGTTTTTCTTATTGTATTTTTATACTTTTGTTTTTACTGCCTTAAATTTTGATATAGAATCTTTTTTGTTGCTGTTGCTTTTGTGTATATTTCTTTTGATAGATTAGCAGGCTTATATTATTTTTTCTGATGGCTACCATTTTTTCTAAAACTCTGCATAATATATTTAAACCTCTATTTATTTAGACCAAGAGTCAGCAAACTATAGCCCAAGGGCCAAATCTGGCCTGCTGCCTGTTTTTGTAAATAAAGTTTTATTGGAACATAGCCCTGTCATTCATTTATATATTGTCTGTGGGTTCTTTCTTGTTATAACAATAGGAATGTGTGGTTGTGACAGAAACTGTATGTCCTGCAAAGTCTAAAATATTTACTATCTGGCCCTCTACCAAAAAGTGCTGGTCCCTGCTTTAGACCATCAATTGACTTTTTTATAAACAATTATGGAATTAGTCTATTTCTACATCTTTTCACTTCCTCCCTCTATGGTGGAGAAGAGAGAGCAGTCATTAAACCATATGCTCAGTATTAGTTTTATCTATAATTACATAAGTATATAAATAACTATATAATCTATAGTTATTTGTAGTATATTTATAGCTATCTATGCCTCAATTTCAACCAAATCAAACCCCTATTTAGCAGCTACCCAGATTGCAGGTGTTTCTCTTCTCATATGTAACCTTGGAAGTATAAACTCTTTAAGTACTGGCATAAAGTATGTCTAGCTCCTAAATCCATTAAAATATAATGGAGTGAATAAAAGCTAAAAGTTAAAATATTTGTTGTTTCTAAAATGCTTATATTTTAGCATTAATATCACTAATCTTGCTATTAGTAACATGGAGAAAACCACCTTAGCCTCAATACTACCATCAAAATTTAAATTAAAAAATGTTTAATTTAATAAATAGTCCTGGAAGATATGTTGACTGGCAAATATTGGCCATGGGTTAGTCTCTGAAATATAAGGATTTCAGTGTAATATTCTTTTTATATTGCTTGAATAATACTTGCCTTTCCCATCAAGAAATAAAATTTATAAAAGGCTTAAATTATCTTTATATTATCCAAATATCTAATCTTAAAGGCTTTTTTTTTAAGAATCTATGTCTACACAACCTAAAAGAGTGACAAGCCTGCTTAATATTTTGAAAAAAAGAAATAAAAAATTTAAAGATCAAAAAAATTAGTCCTGTGATATTAAAAAAAAAAAAAAGCTGGCAATATTCAATATTGTGTTTAAAATTTATTATGCTCTTGATTAGGATCATTTTTTAAGCAACATTTGAATCAAGAATGCTTATATGAGCAAACAATCGTGGGCCATTCGGCAACGAAGTCATGCTTTTTAATGCTAATATACCATGTGACAAAGCAGTGAATTACCTAGGAGTTATGAGACACCAAACTGATAATATGACAAAAGCTAGGCTCTCAGCAAGGCTTAAAAAAAAAAAAAAAAAAAAACCATTGCTGTACAGTGGATTCCGACTCACAGATACCCTATAGGACAGGGTAGAACTGCCTCATGGGATTTCCAAGGAGTGGCTGGTGGATTTGAACTGCCATCCTTCTGGTTAGCAGCTGTGCTCGCTGTAGCTCTCAACCACTGCACCACCAGGACTCCTTTGGAAGGCTAAACATGCCTAAACACTCCAAGCAACAACTGCAACCTTCTCAGTTTTGTGTACTTCGCACTGCCCTGCTTTGCTTACTCTCTCTCAAACCAGCCCTAGAGTAGCAGAGTTGTGTTGATAGCAGTGGGGATAGCAATTTTTAGATGGGCCAGCTAAAAACTTGCCATGATAGCTAATTGTCAATGTGTACATATTTAGCCTTTCTTTGCTGGGATCATATTTTCTATCCTCTTTGTATTGTCCTGAAGGGGCTTACTTGTTTTGTACTTTAAATCAATACTGGATTTGATGAGGCACTTTAAAATCTCAGTCCCCAGACCACATTCCAAGTTGAGTCATTGCATCCTACTGTGCAAAAGCTCCATTTTAAATAGTTTCAGCTGGAAAAGTTTGTTATTTAAACTCTAAAAATGAACAAGTTGATTCACAAAGGCAGAGACATTTAAATGGTGGGTGAGTGATCTTTATTTGGTCTGCACATTCTGTTTTCAATCTGGGAGTTGGTTTTTTGTTTTTTTTTTCCATGAAAAAAACTGGCTGAAATACAGTCAGAATTTATATGTGCTCCAACAGAAAGTCTCAGACTCTTCAAAATTTCCACTTGCACAGCCATTAAATTGATGGCTCAAAATCTAATTTTTCCTACCTCCTGAAAATGGTGCCAAAACAATTTCAATATGTTTGTCTCCTTTGGCATATCTTCCCAGGAGGTTTCGATTAGGAGATCTAGGAGCAAACAATTGTGGCAATTGAAAAACCAAGTCAGGCTTCTTAGAGGTAATATACTGTGTGACAAAGCAATGAGATGCCCGGGAGAAAGGAGATGCCAACTGATAATATAACAAAAACTAAATTAAATCTGGGCATCTTTCCAGGCTGACGTTGCTGTGATGGTCTACTTCCACAATCTGACAGCAAGAAGCTGGCATTAGGAGTCCATGAAATGCAGACTGTATGAGTAGGGCAACAGCAAAGAAGACAAAGCATCATCGGGTGGGTGGGAGAATGTAGGGAAGAAAATTTTCCACTTTATAAAGTTTTTTTTCAAAGAGATGGCGTTTGGGGATAGTGATGCCTAAGAAAGACTCACAACTCAAAACTCCACAACAGGATTCGGTAGTTAAACAACAAACCCAACCCCAAATTATCCCCAAGGGTAGCATCTGCCTGTGTCTGGGGATTTTGCATCTCACTGTCTTTCATCACTCTCAATACCCGACAAAAACACCCACATAAAAAGGTAGGTAGAACTGAATCAGCCTCTAAACAAAGACCCAGCTCTGCCTTCCAGCAAAAACGCGTCTCGGGAAGCAGGGGTTTCCAGCCTGCCCCTGGGCTGCTCTGAGCTGAGTGGGTTGGAAGAGCCGCTGAGGTCTCCTATTGGCTGCCTCGGACGCCCCACCCCACCCCGCCCCGCCCTGCCCCGGCTCCCTGGTTTCCGTCGCGAAGGACGCAGCGCCGGTTGGTTGTCAACATGGCGGCGGCGTCAGCTGGGTGCCTGATCTCCACCGCCGCAGCTGCAGTCACCGCAACAGCTACCAGTGCCTCTGCGCGGGAGCCAGGGCCGCCGCGGCCGACCCTTCCGCTCCCGTGACGCGGGGCCTGAGAGACGGAGTGTAGGGAGGGGCTGAGGAGGAGGAGGAGGAAGGCAGAGCTGCCATGAGGGAGGCGCTAGGGATGAGCGGGGAGGCGGTGCGGAGGTGAAGGATGCTGGCCGGGAAGCCCGGAGCCCGGAGCGCGGTCGCAGATCTGGACGCCGAATCCTCAGACACCCGCAGCAGAGCCCCTCTCAGCCCTCGGGAGAGCGGCGGGCGTCACCGACCTGGCGCTTACCTGTATCCTTCCCAGGCAGGGGCTGCCGGGGTAACGATGTTGGAAGCAGGGCTGATCCTTTTTTCCATTAGATAATCGCCACTGACGCAAGGTGATGGAAACTAGAAAAGTCATGTTAGTGCGGATATTTATAACATTTTATCCAATTCTATGACCGCTTCCCCCGCCACCTTTTTATCCCACCCCCATTCTTTAACTTTGGTGTAAAGTGTTCGCGAATTTTAAAATACATCAACCATGTCTTCTGTAGAGATTGTCTTTTTGCCTTCTAGAATTATGCCATTATGTTCTTTACTTGCATATTAATCCACCTCTTATCATGCGACTTAGGGGAATTGCACAAGTAAGAAATAATTTGTTGTCCTGAAAGAGTCCGTTTTAATCGGAGTTGCCAAAGCCTAGCACAGTTAGGTAATTTTGTTTTGTTTTCCATCCTCTGCCACGTCTGTTGTCAGAAAGCAAAGAGGAAAGGGGAAGCAAAGGACCTGGACGCTTCACAAACTGGATTATCTCTGATTTTTCCCCTAAGAATTGGCCTAGCTCACATTTGATGTCCCTGTTGGTTGCGTTGTAGAAACTTTTTTTTTATTAATGTGAGGTGTTTTTTTTTTTTTCCAAAATATGTCAGCCATGTTTATTCCTTTAGAGAATGTTATGATAATTAGAATGTAACCTTTGTACTCTCAAAGGATTTGGTTGGCAGTGATGGTGCTGTATAATCATCTTCATTCTTGTTAGAGAATGGAGTGTCTTCTCTTTCCAAAGTAATCCTTCTTCCTAAACCTGTTCTTTTCCATTTCTTCTGGGAGGTTGCTTTTATTCTCTGTTACAACTTTAACAACAGTTCAACAAACAGTTTTTACTGAGTGCTTGTTCTATGGCAGACTCTGTGCTAGGTGCTAGGAATACAAATCTAGTGAGGAAGGCAGGTATGTGAAGATCTTCACTAACCGGAAAATATATCTTCTCTGATCATGCTTTCCTCAAGGTTGCATTCCTTCTCTGTCTTTTCTTTCTTTGCCCAAGTTCTCAAAATGGTAGCCTGCAATAGCAGCCTCTAGTTCTTTTCTTCTATTGATTGTTAACCCTTTTCATTTTGGCTTTTGCACCTGCTAGTCCTCGGAACTATTCTCACAAAGATGTACTCTGAAATAAACAGGATTGTTTCTATACGGATTTTGCTCTGCCCCCTTGTCATTATATTTTCTTGGACACTGAACTCCTATTACACTGACCCTGATTTATTTCTAAATTGAAAGTAGAAGAGCATTGTAAATGGCTCATTGATGAAGTGTACCTTTCCATTTTCATTAATGAAACAATCGTAGGCTTCATTTTTTAAACTTTATGTGGTATGAACGTTGATACAAACATCAAAGAAAATATGTGTAAATAGAATTCAGCAATACATTGAATGAACACAACTAAATAGACTTTATTCCAGACTGTAATGGTGGTTTTCTATAAAGAAATATTATTACTAAAAATACAGTTAAAATTAAGCAAGTTGTAAAAGATCATTTCAATAGCTGCCTAAGAGGCTTTGATAAAATTCAACAACTTTTTTGCTAGTAATAAAGATTTTAAATTGGACTAGAAGAATTATTTTTGTATATAATAAAAAGACTATGGATACTAAATGAAGAACTATCATGTTTACTAGTTGGAGAAACACTACAGCAACTTTATAAGTATTATTTTGGAGGTTTTTTAGTGGCTATAATGTTTCCCATTGAATACCTGGTACAGAGTATTACTCAGATTTGTTAAATGAATGACTAAATTAAAAAAAAAAGAATGGAAACAACCATAAACCATAGAACAAAAAAATCATACTACTAAAACTTCTGCATGTGATTTCTGAATAAGAACTTAATACTCAGAGGCCATCCAGTTTTCTGCCAAAGATGTTTTCTCATTGAGTCAATTTCCTGAGTCAAAGCTATAAAAGAGCAAAATCTTATGAAATTCATCTGATTAAAATTTGCTAAATTCTATCATCTTACTCCCATACAAGAATTTAAGTGGAAATAAAAATTGTTTTTTTTTTAAATAAATGAATTTAAAGAAAGTTGTTTCATATCCCCCTTCATACTATGCCTCTTTTTTTCATAAATAACTCCATTTTATCTAGCACCCACCTTGATACTCTTTCTTCCCTACCCAGTTTATATCCTATTCTTGATGATCTGAACTGTACTCTCACTAACGTCCTTGATTCTCTGCACCATTCCTACTTCAACCACCCAGTAACTACCAAATCCTGCTTCTCTACTTCTTCACTTGAATAATAAAATGCTGCCTCAGAAAATCACAAAACAGTATAAACTGGCACCATTACAGTTTCATGGTTTCCAGCTTCACCTGAACAGGGTTCTCTCTTATTCATCTTAATGCCTATGCTGGATCTTTTATCACCTTCCACCACTCCAAGTAGACTATCTTACCACTTCTTCGTAAGAAAATTAGTTGATGCTATAAACTTCCTGAGGTCCCTCCCAACAGAAAACACAAACCCACACCTTCCCTCCACCCTACCACGTCTTTTTTTTCCCCCTACCTTCCCTCCAGACTCACTGATGAGATATCTCTTTTACTGTAGACGGTAAATCCATTCACTTGTGTCCTTATTTCCATCTCTTCTCAGTAACCCTGCATAAGTTATCCCCACCTCACATAGTTTACTTTCAATTTCTTTCTAATAGGCTTCTTTCCCTACAGCCTATAAACATGCTGAGATTTGCCTGTGCTTAAAATTAACTAACAGACTCTTTGATCACAAGAATCCTGTTGGCTCTGTTTTGATATCTATCTCATTGAGACCTCTAAAAACAGTAGTTTATGATCACTGTCTCTACTTTTGTGTCACACCTTATACTACATCCCAGAATTAACTTGGACTGAAAAAAAAGGATAAGTATAACAAATGCAGAGTTATAAAAGAAAACTGACAGAAATAGAATTTCACATTTTTTACATGTTTGAAGGTAATTTTAAAAATTTAAAACTTCAGTGTAAGGAGAAACTGCATAATTGAATAAAAGTGGGAATGTTTGGAGAAAATACTTGCACTGACTATAATAGAGGATTAATATCTATCCTATCTGTATTGAATTTATTGTAATTGATTTTTAAAAATCAAGTTTTCCATAGATAAATGACTAGTGGCTCTAAACTCTCAATTCACCAATGAAGAAAAAAAAATTAATAATTGAACGTGGGAAGTATTCTATTTTGCTAATGTATAAGACATAAGACACGGTTTTCTATCTAGTCTTTCTAAAAAAAAATTAATACTACCCTATTCTTTTGAGGTTTTGAAATTGATATACATACTTTTTAGACCATTTGGTCTCGTATAGATGATTTTTTGAAAGGAGCAAGGGTGATATTATTTATTTTATGAGCCAATCTGTTATTTAACTAATAAATATAATGACCTCGTGGAATAGTTTTTGTTCAAGGTCTAAAGAATATCTCAGGGCAATAGTCTTGGGGAGTCCTCCAGTCTCAACTAATCCAGTAAGTCTGGACTTTTTAAGAATTTGAGAACTGTTCCACGCTTTGCTCCCATTCTATCAGGATCCATCTATTGTGTTCCTGATCAGAACAGTCGGTAGGGGTAGCCAGGCACCGTCTAGTTCTTCTGATCTCAGGGTAGATGAGGTCGTGGTTCATGCAGATTATTAGTCCTGTGGACTAGTTTCTTCTCTGAGTCTTTGGTTTCCTTCATTCTCTTTGACTCCAGATGTGTAGAGACAAATAGTTATATCTTAGATGGCTGCTCCCAAGCTTTTAAGACCCTAGATGCTACTCATCAAACTAGGATGTAAAACATAAACTTTATGTACTGTATTATGCCAATTGACTGAGTTGTCCCACAAGGGTATTGTCCTAAGCCTTCAGACCCTGTGAACCAATCCCGCGAGATGTTTAAAAAATATCTGTGTGTCATGGATTGAATTGTGTCCCCCCAAAATAGTGTCAACTTGGTTACACCATGATTCCCAGTATTGTGTGGTTGCCCTCCATTTTGTGATTGATGTAATTTTCCTATGTGTTGTAGATCCTAATCTCTGCCTGTGGTTAATGAGGCAAGATTAGGTTATGTTAAAGAGGATTAGAGTAGGATGTAACACCCTCACTCAGATCACATCCTTGATCCAGTATAAACGGAGTTTTCCTGGGATGTGGCCTGTATCACCTTTTATCTTACAAGAGATAAAAGAGGAAAGCGAGCAGAGAGACAGGGGGACCTTATACCACCAAGGAAGTAGCACCAGGAGCAGAGCACGTCCTTTGGACCCAGGGTTCCTGCACAGAGAAGCTCCTAGACCAGGGGAAGATTGATGATAAGGACCTTTCTCCATAGCTGACGAGAGAGAGGGCTTTCCCCTGGACCTGGCACCCTGAATTCGAACTTCTAGCCTACTAGACTGTGAGAGAATAAACGTCTCTTTGTTAAAGCCATCCACTTGTGGTATTTCTGTTATAGCAGCCCTAGATGACTAAGACACTGTGTTTGTGTCCCCTATGTACTTTATTGTATACATGAATATATATGGCTGCATACCCTTATATATACACCTGTATATAGATACATCTACATATGCCCATTTATATACACACATATACATACCTATATACTTGTATACATACATATATATACGTGTCCACACTCATTTAGCTGTTGTTGCAAAGTTGTATATGTCCTAGCATGTACCAAAAATGTCATTTTTTCTGGCATACTTCTTAATGATATCATTTACTTTGGTCAGACTGTGTACACTTCACCCACGTTTGGTGTTATATTTCTCATACCCAAAAATAACAAGTGTCTACTATGTAGAGAGTGAACCCCCCCACCAACTCCCGGTACCACCAGTGAGCATTAGTTTCAGTATGTATACCTTTTCTTGTCTTTTTATAATAGTGAGATCATGTAGTATTTGTCATTTTGTGATTAACTTATTTCACTGAGCATAATGTCCTCCAGTTTTATCCATGTTATAATATATTTTCAGAACTCATGATTATTCTTTATGGTTGCGTAGTATTCCATTGTATGTATGTACCAGATTTTGTTTATCCATTCATCCATTGACAGGCACTTAGGTTGTTTCCATCTTTTTGCTGTTGTGAATAGTGATGCAATGAACATTAGTGTGCATATGTCTGTGTCTTTAGTATTTACCTAGCAGTGAGATTGCTGTATCATAAGGTAGTTCTATTTCTAGTTTTTTGAGAAGTGCTATACCATTTTCCATAGTGGTTGTACCATTTTACAATCCTACCAGCAGTGGATAAGAGTTTGAACCTCCCGGCAACCTGGTCAGCATTTGTTGTTTTCTGTTTCTTTGATCAGTGCCGTTTTTTGCAGGGGTGAGATGGTATCTCATTGTAGTTTTGATTTGCATCTCTCTAACAGCTAATGATAACGAGCATCTTCTCATGTATCTGTTGGCCACTTGAATGTCCTCTTGTGAAATGTGTTGTTCATGTCCTTTGCCCATTTTTAAATTGGATTGTTTGTGTTTTTGTTGTTGAGTTGTTGAAGTTTTCTATGTGTTTTAGAGATTGGACCCTTATCAGATATGTTGTTCCCAAAGGTTTTTTTTCCCAGTCTATAGGTGGTCTTTTTCACTCTTTTGATAAAGTCTTTTGATGAGCATAAATATTTAATTTTTAGGAGATCCCAGTTATCTAATTTGACTTCTGCTGGTCATGCATTAATAGTTGTGTTTGATCTTTTTTTTTTTTTAAATTAGACCCCATAGTTCTGTCCCTGTGTTTTCTTTCAAGACCTTAATAGTTTTAGCTTTAACATTTAGATCTTTGATCCATTTTGAGTTAGTTTTTTAGTATGATGTGAGGTATGGGCCCTGTTTCATTTTTGTGTGTGTGAATATCCAGTTTTGCCAGCACTATTTATTAAAGCAACTGTTTCTTCCTCATTGAATGGACTTTGACCCTGTGTCGAAAATCAGTTGCCCATAGATAGATGGATTTATTTCTTGGTTCTTTATTCTATTCCACTGGTCTATGTGTTTATTCACTGAACCAGTACCAGGCTCTTTTGATACTGTGGCTGTATAGTATGTTTTGAGATCAGGGAGTGTGAGACCTCCTACTTTGTTCTTCTTCAATAATGCTTTGGCTTTCCATATAAAGTTGGTGATTAGTTTTTCCACTTCAATAAAGAATGTTGTTGGAGTTTGGATTGGGATTGCATTGTATCTATAGATCACTTTGGGTAATACTGACATTTTCACAATATTAAGTTGTCCAATACATGAGCAAGGAATACATGCATTTTCAATGGCATGTAAATTTGTATGACACCTTTAGAAATCGATTTGTCTGTAATGCACTAAAAGCCATAAAAATGCATGTACTTTTATTAAGCCATTTCTACATTCCAAACATCGTGCTAAGCCTTGGAGTTATAGAAATGTAGAGGAGACACATATAATGTACTCATGAAGATGTCATCAAGTCATGTGGTTGGAGGTTAGAAAGGCTTTATACGGAAGGAATCACTGAGGTAGCTCTCAAAGGATGAGAATAATTAGGCAAGTGTGTACCAAGACATTTAGGCATGATACATCATGGCTTTTTCTGTTAATAATAAGTACCTTAGAATGGCTGGATTTAGAATTTATCTAGGAGAATATTGAGAAATGAAGCTGAAAAACAGACCAGATTATAGAATGCTTTATATACTACGCCAAGAAATTTGCAATTGATCATGAAGGTGATAGGGAGCTTTTGGAGAACAAGAGCGGGAAACAATCAGATTTGCATTTAAGAAAGGTTGTCTGGATTTGTGGAGGTTCAAGTGGAGGATAGAAAGTTTGAGTTGGGAGAAGAGCTAGAAGACTGCTGAGGTAGTCCAGGAAAGAAAGTGAGAGGGTTTGAACCAAGGCAGTGACAGATGTTACAGAGAAGGAGGAATAGAATTAAGATATACTTTACAAGTAGATTAGACAAGAAAATAGATCGTATGATATGTAGGTATTTGTGATGATAACATATTTAAAATAAATGTACAACAATTGGAGGACTAAATTAGGAGAGGGAGAGATGAAGAGGAGGTGGGGTAGCTTAGGCTATGTTTTTAGTTATTGTGTGTTACTTGCCCAATCCTACGACCCGTACTATTTTGGGGAGTTTTGGATGTTAAGTATATAAAAATTACCTTCCTTTGAATAGGTCTTTAACAGTGATTCTTATGGAAATACCTTACTTTTACAGTATAGCTGTATAAAAAACAAAAATTTAACCAGCGATTTAATATTTTTTAAACTTGAATACCATATTTTGAAAATATGCAGAGCAGCAGCATTCCTTATAACTCAGCAGGCAAAAATTATATATATATTTTTAGATTCCTTTGATTAAATTTGAGAACGTATAGTTGACAAAACATTACAAACATTACATTTGTGATTTTTCTTTATGCTCTTGTCATGAGATCTCAAACATGTTGAACAGAATTGTATCTCCCTAAGGCACAGTCCTTCATGCTTCTCAACTGAGCTGAAGCAACCTACCTTCTCGCCCCCACCCTCCCCACACATACATTCGCGCGCGCGCAGACACAACACACACACACACACACACACACACACACACACACACACACACACACACACACACACACACACACACACTGCTGCCCCTGTGTACCCTGAAAGAAGCTTCCCTTTCCTCCACTGCCATGTGATGACTTTCAGTTGCTAGCCATCTGGTTCAAGTCTGACTTCTACTAATAAAGTCTTCTATTAAGGAAGAAAAAGATGAACCTTGAGCTGTTTCTGTGCTAGCAAAAATCAGGTTTCCTTCCCTTTTTGCTTAATTTTTGTAAATCATCCAAAAAAAAGAAATATCATGCGTGTGAGTGTGTGTGGGTATGTTTATGTTGAGATGGTGCAAAATCATATAATAAATTCAAGGTGAAATGAGTTATGGTTTATGGTATAAAGGTGGTTAAATAGCAACATAACAGGTTCGAACAACCATAAACTTCAAGTAAATTGATTGTATTGAAACATATAATAAGGTCGGTTTATAATATTTACACAGAACCACTGTGGTGGTGTTTTGTGCCGTTGAGTAGATTCTGACTCATAGTGACCCCATGTGACAGAGTACAACTGCCCCATAGGGTTTTCTAGGCTATGATCTTAATGGGAACGGATTGCCAGGTCTTTTATCCTGGAGTGGCTGGTGGATTCTAACGGCCAACCTTTCTGCCAACCTTTTGGTTAGCACCTGAGCTCTTAACCATTGTGTCACCAGGGCTCCTTCAGAAGCATTGTAGAGTCCTGAAATTAACACAGTTTGAATTAACAAATTAAATTATGTACAGCATAATTTATTGGTCAATGTATTTCTTGTATTCTGTTTTACTGTTAATAGTTTATGGTGTATAAAAAAGCTTGATTAATTCAATTGTTTAAAGAGAATTTTGAACCTCTACTTTATGGAAAAAAGTTTTTTTTAAAAAATAGACTGTTTATTCTCAAAAGGGAACTAGGTATGTCCTATAATCTGTAACTTCAGTGCAGAATCTTATATGTCTACCTCTAATGATGAGGCTCTGAATAGTGATAAAGTGGTAATTGATATGCAAGATGAGCTTTTTTTAATTCAAAATCATTAAAAACAGAAATATTGTGATAAAATTGATAAAGTTATTTAATAATGACAGTTGAAACACAGCTAAAAACTGGGAAAATCAATGAAGCACATCCATACAATATTTAAATAAAGCTAAATTTTATATAATTTCAAACAAATGGGTGATTAGGATAACCAAAATGTTCATTTTCTTTGACAACTTTCTGGATAAACAGATTACTATGCATGGTTTTCCTGTTGTTCTTTTGGGAACCCAAAAATAAATCATTAACTTTGTAAATAACTAAACTTTTGCCAGTCATTCCAGTTATACTGCTATTTATTGAATATAATTTTCATACTGTAGATTCACAGGATCTATTGAAGTGTTTAATTCATCTACTTTCTGCTAATAATATATAACCTTCTTTCCTTTTCCTATGTACATGCCTAAGATGGTATCTTGCTAGTTAGTATTCAGAAACAATGAGTGAAAAGATATGCAGTCTCTTTATCTGAGCTCATGGTTTCTGAAAAGTAACCAGTTTCTTTCTAGATAAAGGAGAGATATGTCTGAAGTTTTAATAACAAGTCAGAATTTTTTACGTAAAGCCTCTGCCAGTCATATACTAACAATTGTGTGTACACATATCAATTATTCCACAAAAACATCATTACATCATTAGGATGCGGCTGTTATACATTCATCAGTTAGCACTGACACTCATCCACTAAAAACATAAACCATTATCCTTAATGCTACTATTAGAGATATGAAAATCCATCTAGAGAAAAATTTAGAAGAAGAGCGCCAAATATTACTGCAGCAACAAAAAATATGTCGAAATCGAGCACGTAAATATTTTGTGGAGTCAAACCGAAGAAAAAAGTAAGTAATTATATTCTATTCAGAAGTGTAGATTTTTCAAAAGCATTGTAAATTTAATAGTTTCTCTAGTTGGTAGCATTTTATGAACCTAAACAATGACAGTGCTTTATGTATAAAATACCGATTAAGATCCTTGTGGCTTTGTAAATTTTATTATTGTTTTTCTACCTAAAGCACAAGGATGGTGGCATATTGTCTAGTTCACTACCTATGACCATATTAGTCTTTTCCTGTCATAGAATCGTTTTTACAAGGTCATACATACTTCTTAAAATGACTATAGAGTGTGTTATCTTCTTTTTCTGTAGTGTTTTATGATGAATGTAAAGATTGCTAGTTAGTATTTAGTTTCTAATGGAATCACTGTGGTTTTGATTTATTATTCACTTCCGCATTATTTTTCTATATGTACTGCCTTCGTTCATCCAATCAGAAAAATGAGAAGGAATATGAATAAGAGAGTAAATGTGAGAAAAAGGAAGAAAGCTTTCCATGGAAACTGGAACCCAAAATAAAGTAGAAATACAAACCCTGCAGTCACTGCTTAACATTTTTAAGGACTTTTTTAATTATTATATTTTTTTATTGTGAGACAGAGTGATTTTGCCATTTTTTACTGTTGTTTTTTCTGCCTTGTCATTTCTTCAGTACACGAAGAGCAGAAAATCCCTAGAGTTTTTTAACTACATCATTGACATATGTTGCAAATCCCATTTGGCAAATATAAAATTGTTTGCCTGTAGTTTTTTTCTGGTATTACATGTCTCTTTATATTAACACTTTCATTGTTTTGGTGTAGTTGAAATTCTTTAATGAAACTTATTTTTTAGTTTTTGTTTTTCATGTGTTTTTGTTTTACCTTTTATCTACTAAAGGGAACTATGAAAGGCACATAATAGGTGTTCAGTACATAAAGATCAATAATTATACATTGAAAGGCTTTGGAGTCAGAGATCTAGGTTTAAATCCTAGCTTGTGAGTTACAGCAAGTTATGTAGTCTCTTTCAGCCTCAGTTTTCTCATTATCACTGGAATTAATAACACCTAGTTCAAGAGGTTGTTGTATAGAGCAAAGGTAATGTAAAGAGGAATATTTGAGAACATATGTAAAAATATCACAGTGTTTGGCACAGTAGTTCTTGGTTATTAAGTTTATTTTTATTGTTTAATAAATATTTGTCAAATTTTCCAATAATTGAATTGCTCTGTGAAATAGAAGGCTTGCATATAGAATTTGATTCACAACATTCCCACTTCTCTCATCAAACACTCTTAAGATGTAGAAAATATACAGGAGAAACTTTGGTTTAAAATTCTAAGAGGCAGAACATTTTCCAGTACAATTTTACTGTGTTTTATTTTTCTGTTACCCTAAAATGCTATATAAAATCATCTAAAAATTTCTTTTAAGAGACTAATCATTTGTCTCCATACTTGACCTTTTACAAAGGGACCAAAATTATTTGTGTTCTTCTGAATTTCAGAGGATGTCTATTACTTGGCCTTTTTTAACATGCCTTTTTTTCTATCTATTTTTACTTCACATCATCTAAGTTTATGTTCTCTACTCACATTATAGTCACAGGATTTTTTTTAAGTATTTTTGCTATGAGGAGAGACAATTGCCTTCCATCATTTGTCAGTTACACTTTGACATTTTTAGTGTGTCCCCAGCACTTCTCAAAGGAAAATGTTTCCATGTGCTCTTATTTCCATCAATCGCTTAAAATCATGCATATTTTCATTTGCTTCTTATTTACTACTTTCTTGCATTTCTTTTCAGTAAATTTTTTTTCTTGCATTCTGTGCTTTGCTTTTATCACATTCTCAAGTTTTGCATTGTTAGTAGCTATTCAGGAGGCCCCCTTTGTTTCCCTCCAGAAGCCTCCCTTTATCCTCCTACTCCAACAGGCACAACTGGCATAGCTTTTTTGGATTGGAGCTACAGTTTCTTGCCTCCCAGGTTGTCTCTTCTTTTGTTTTACCCCATTAGTTTTCCAGAGTACACCCTCAGGTAACTTCCTAATATGCTGCTTTGTATTGTTATTGTTGTTGTTAGTTACTATTGAGCCAGTTCCTACTCGTGGCAACCTCTTGTGTGCAGAATAGAACTGCTCCATATGGTTTTCAATGGCTGATTTTTTGGAAGTACATCATCAGGCCTGTCTTCCAATTTTAGTATACACACAAACATAAAGGAAATAAATGGACTTAATTATTATATGCTTTTCATTTACTACTCAGAACTATGTTTTGGTAAATAAGCAAGGAGGCATTTATTCACGCAACAAGCGTAGCTTATTGAATACCACTGATTTAACATTATGTCAGAAGAATTTATTTGTTTAATCCATTCTACAATTAACCTTTAGAAAATGGAAATAATATGATTTAATGTAACTTCATGAGGAAAAGAAATTTAAGTAAATTTTTAAGAAGAGTTCAAAGAGAGTCTTCAGATAGTTTGAAACACTATAATGTGAGCTAAGCTACAGTGAAACCTGTGAGAGCCGGAACTTGATGGGACTGCCTTATTTTTCCGGGTCTCGCAGGTTTTCCACCTTTGACAGGTGTGTAGTCTTACCACTTTTCTATCGCTCATTTTAGTGCAAAATATTTGAATTTTCCTTCTCTGATAGGTTTTCACCTTATACAGGTTCTGGCTTTCACAGGTTTTACTGTGTAATCTGAGCATGTTAGCGTTTTCATGTCACCAACTTCTTCTGCTCCACATTTGGGATATATAAAGGAAAAAGAAAACCCAGAGAACTTAGTACCATGTCATTCCATAGGTCCAGAGGTCCCTAGCCAGTCTGCCTCCTTCTCTCCACCTTTTAGAGTCTTCTTGTGTTTGTTTCATATATAATATCCCAGGTTTTTAATTGTACTTAGTGGGAAGAATAGCAAAAAAGTGTGTCTAACCCAACATCTCGTAAGCATAACTTGCCTCTTTTTGATGTTAGTGTACCTACTCCTCAATTATCGACTGTCTCATTATCTGACAATTCGCATTTATGACAATAGTAAAAAATCTATCATCCAACTATTTTGCTCATTAACAACATACATCTGGCAGTAACAAACACCATAGGTGAGGCGAGAGTAACACTGGCTGTGATGGTTGAGGTTATGTGTCAACATGGCTGGGCCATGATTCTCAGTGGTTTGGCAGTTATGTAATAATGTAACTTGGCAGTTATGTAATGATATAGTCATCCTCCATTTTGTGATCCGATGTGGTCATCCTCCATTTTCACATTATGCTGATTTTTGTGTAACGACCTTATCTTTGGAACCTAACCATGTTGATAAGTGAGGAGTGTATTTTTCCCTTTAGATGCATTGTTACCGTTCTTTTTTGAGATTTCTAATACATTATGACCTGGTAAACATAATTTTATTAGAACTAAATCTAAGATAAGAATAAATGGGCTGTTCCAGCTACCATTATTGAATGTTTTGATCAAAGATTCTATATAATCCCGACCAAAAGTAGAAAAATGCAGAAGACAATTCCAAATTCTCATGGAATCCAGACATTCTGGAGCCATTGAGGCTCAGTGAATCCCCAAAACTGTTGCCCTGAAATAATCTTTAAACCTTAAATCAAAAATATCCTCTGATGTGTTCTTTAAACCACACAATAGGTTAGCTTAATTAGTAGAGAATGTTTGCCTTGAGCATTGTGCTCTTTTGAAGAACTGTCTATATGGGATCAAATCGACAGCAGTAACTTGAAAGGTCAGATAGGAAGCTTAGGGGGCAGTGGGTTTGTTACTGGGGGTGGAACAATTTAGAAAAGGAGGGTGTGAGTGGTTACACAACTCAAAAGAATGTAATCAGTGCCACAGAATTATACATGTAGAAACTGTTGGTGTATGTTTTGCTGGATACACTTTCAACAACAATAAAAAATAATAATATATGGACTGTGAATAAGGACTTATGAGACTTTTATGATTAAAATTTATGAACTTTAGTTAATTGTTGTTGGCATGTTTATTTGGCTGTTACCTTAGCCTTTGGAGAAGTGAGGTACTATGATATTTTTCCTTTGTATTGTGAACATTGCTAATTCTATCTGGTAACTCAGAATATAGCTCTTTGTTGATTGGGTATTTTCCCCACAAATAGTGTGTTATGGGTCATTTTTTTACTTTTAATTTGTTTTCTTTTTCAGTCAAGTGAAAAACAATCAGTTGGAAAATATTCAGATCTAGATTTTAGGGATTTCAATTAATTTTCAGTCCTGGCAAGTATGAGATTAATAATCTGAGACGCACATTTATTTGCCAAGCAGTGAAAACTCACAGTATGCTCTCGAGTTTACTTTTATTTTGTATAGGCTGTTGGTATTACTGTTTGTTAAAAATGTTATGTTTTGTTCCTAAAAACTATTTCTTTTCCCCTGCATTTTTTATTTGAAAGTGATACTTTGTTGCTATTTTTAAATTTCTTTAATTTCTGATTATCTTGAACTGTGGTTGTGTTTCAAACTTAAATTGGATCATATCTCTAGAAAGTTGTAACTACCTAAATCTAAAATATGATTCCATCCAGAAAAAAAGAAATGCATCACAAAAGGCAAGTGCTCCAATTCTGTGTCTCCTATAACCTCAGGTACTCTCAATACCACTGCTTAGGTTTCATTGTTAAAGAAAGTTGTTGCCATGATGGTTATTTGTTTACTACTTAAGAATATTTCCAACAGAAGAACATGATATCCCATAGCTGTTGACTCCTGGGAAACCAGAACAAACAGTTTGGCATATGGCCATCAATTAATGATGTGGCTCACTTTGAACCAAGGTGTTCTACGCCTTTCATGGGGCAGAACTGCACATGTAAATAGACCCTTCAAAAGTGGCTAAGGCAGACTGCGTTTCTTCTGTAAAAGGGGCTAATTCTAGAGTTAATGGAAAGCAGCAAAATACTTTTCCCTACAATGGTAGAGGAGCTTACTAATTTTTACCACCAGTTCCTTCTGTTCCCACAGGACT